TACGAATCTCTAGGTTATGTATAAGAACGGTCAGGAATATACCTAGTTGTATTCAATATTTTATCTGATAGCGTATTTTAAGCAGTTAATAGTTTTTGAAATAATTAGCTATAAACCTACTCCAGTAGTACCGTTTTAGTAAATAACATCTTTGACCGCGCACGATAAACGTTGACAGTTATTACAGGTTTTTTAATCTCTCACTTCATCACATCCAGAAGTGTTTAAATACCATGAATTAAGAAATATATATTATTACAACAAGTTTCAAACTCTTGAATGAATCTTAAATGTTTTATATAATGATGACCAGTTTCGTTAGTTTCAGTACAATTGCATAACTTTTTTTTAATAGCATTATGATAACATATTTTATTTTAGTAATATTATAGATAAACCTAAGTTTCCGATTAAAACGTTTTTTTGAGGTTTATAGACGCCTATATTTGTAAAAGAATTCGGTTTCTGGTCATTTCATCGTTGTATGTATTCTTAAACTTTGTTATCTTTCTTTCATAATTATTTCTATACACTGAAATACATTATACTATCAGTTGTTAAACACACGTTTCAACAGGTATTGTAAAAATAATGGCAAGTAATAGTTGATAAATCATTCGAATCATTGAAATATTTGAATACAAGGTATATATGGGGGTTTCAATGGCTCAGACTAATATATAGTGTACCTTTATCATATATAATGGCCGAAATACAACAAACGAATAAAGGGCATTTTTCTGGGCCAAAACGTACAAAAAAACCTTTTCTCCTGGACAATAACCAATATTCTATACTACACAATATGTACCTGCTGGTATATACACCTGGTAAATTCGTTGTTATACCTGCGAGTAGGTTACGGACGTGCCCTTTTAGGAGTATATATATAAATGGACACTTAACGATGCGCGATGTTTCAAATGTGAAATGAGTTTTCTCTAAAACGTGAGAATAAACGCAGCAGTGACAGAAAAAATAAAAGATACTAACGTAGGTTACAAATGTTTTTTTTTCCGGAGGACTTTGTTTTCAATTTAAAATGTTGTATACTATTACTCCGCGTTTAAAACGTTAACCTAAACACTATACAAACTTTAAACACGAATTCAAACGAACATCTCATCGAATCGCGTCCGTCAACATTGAAATGTAGGCTGCAGGTGCATTTTAAAACAATAAATTAAAAAATAACTTCAATTTAATAGTTTTTTCATGAACGTAATAAATATAGTATAAATAATTATATTTTGAGCTGTTATGTTATTTTCACAAATCTGGTTGAAGTTGTAAGAAATGCGTACAAACAACTTGGACGAAAACATATTTTATATGAGTTATAGACAGGAATTTCACAATCGTATTGAATGGATCGTAAAATACGAGCTACAGCCGGGTTCTGTTCCTGAAACGTGTTTGTCAAAACGTTTCGTAAATCCGATAACTAAAAATACTAGTAGGTATCGTATAATAATAATAATAATAATAATAATAATAATAATAATAATAATAATAATAATAATAATAATAATAAAAGGTACTAATATTAACTGAGCAGTATAAGAAATCTGTGTTCGTATATAATATATTACGGTGAGTTAATACAAAAAAAAATTCAATATAAAGACGAATTCCTCGGGGTTGTATCTCTCGTATACACCTGTGACGCACGTTTTGGACCCACCGACTTCAGTGTCTTGTGTATAGGTATAATATTATAATAATATCATAATAACATAACGCAGGTATACTGCAGGTACCTACAATAATATGTATACATAAAATATATGTACACGTATAATACTTATGTACAAGCATATATGTGTATATATATATATATATATATATCATATATTATAGTGTACACTCGTTCGTTATATTCTCGGACCTCGTCACGTCCTGTGCACAGATTCTTGTATCACAATAGTCGAATTGTAGGGGAATATTATTATAATAGTAATATAATGGACACAAGAGAAGTGAATAGTGGCGGCGGCGGCGGCGGCACGATGGGATCGCACCTTGTCTGTGCAGGTACGACGATGACGACGACGACGACGCTCTTGCAGCCAGTGATCTCGCCCTCGCCCGCCGCCTCATCCGCCGGTAATACCGCAACGACTTCTCTCATTAACCCCTGGGCAACACACACACACACACACACACACACACACACACACACACACACATTTCGGTGTACCGGTCCGTTGAACCCGGGTGCAATAACCATCCAACCACATAATAATTATATATTATATTATAGTCAAAATATTATATTATTACCATTATTTAACGCCTATCGCATTAATATTATAATGTAGATCACATTTTTAATCCGATTTAGTATTATATACACTGTGTAGGTAGTGAGACTACGTTATAACCATAACCGCGGTCGATCCCTGCTGCCGGTCGGCTTGACTTTTTTATTTATCGTAAGTCGAAGCATACCACCTATTCGACGGCCGATTCCGATCGTAATCCGCCGCCACCCCTATCGCACGAGATCAGCTTATAATATAACATCATAAAATATTATGCAGTGAAATATTATTATGTGATACGTTTAGCTTAGGTACGCTGCAGTTAAAGCCTTTATGGATTTATATTTATATTATTATTATTATTATTATTGTTATTTATAATACTACATGGTCCATTCGTTTCTTATTCGTATGTCCGACCACCGTTATTGCGTGTCGTATATAATATGTATAGGCGATTTACGGCTACCATAGTATAGCATTAATCAGATGGCACGTCGACATTATTGGATTAACTGACAACGAAAAAATGTTTACCGTTCTATCAACACCGAGCGTGAAACGATGAAATGAAATCTTTGCGTTTCCAAAAACTAGAACGATCTGCAGCCTCTTAGGTTCTACATTTTAATGTAATACACATATTATATATACTGATACTTAGGTGATGTTCTACTTGGGGAAGTAGGTTTTATAATTGGACAGGTAATTATTATTTACATTATTTATAACCCAACTACAGTCACGTGCACCAAAAATTCCGCTTATTTTTTGTTTTATAGTTCTAACTATATCTAAATTAAATATTTTTATGGTTCCAAGTATAGATGTGAATTTGTAAAATTATCAGCATTAAAATTGTTTGAAACACTCCAGGTGAATAAATATAAATATAGTAGTTTTGTTGATTTTGTATCATATATTTTAATAATAAATAATAATATGTATAGGTTATAAAAAAAAACCTTATCGGGTTTCGATTTGTAAAAGCGTACTAAACCAGTAAAAACTAGTAATTTAAATACTCGACTAGTTTCAAACTAGATTAGGTTACTGGCTTTATCAAATAATTAAATGAATATTTATATACATATATATATATATATATATATATATATATATATATATGTATATTATCAATTATGTTAATGTAACGAATTCAAATTTACCACAAAAAACGCAGTCGACTTTTGGTAAATATAAATCAAACAACAGTAATTCTAAATTATTAAGTCTCAGCTATTCGAATTTCTATCATTGGGACAGTCTCAACTCTCAAGTAATAATTTATAAGTATTTTATTATGTAGATACTATAGACTATATTACCTTGTACATTATATCTATTATAATAACATGTTCTTTTAGTTAAGCAAATCGCTTAAAAACATTTTAATTGTTAAATTTAAAAGTTTAAATAATAATAGCTATACAGGGTTTAAGAATATGTAAGTGCACTATTTATTTTCTCTCTTTGATCTATCCTGACCAACGTTGTGTTGTTGTCTTTAGTGTTATAGTGATTGGACCGATGTGTATGATCAAACTTAAAGTTAAGAATATTATTTATGTTCTTACGTAGGCTTTATTACGAATTTTCAATTTTTATGTGAGTTATAAGTATGTAAAATGTTACAATTTAAAAATGATCGTCAAGCTATAACATTGAAATACATAAATAAGCCAAAGTACCCAAGTACACTGCAGATAAGTTCATAACTTCAAGTTTGATAATAGATAAATTCACTCTAATACTAAAGCTAACTACACACAGTTGGTTCTGCTAAATGTAAATTTGGTATGTTTCTCGGGGGTGGGAGGGGGAAACTTATATAGTGCGCTGACATCGTCTCAAGTTATATATTATTACATATAGGTAAACACAATTTATTCGTCGATAAACCAATACAATTAAACAAAAGTACTTACTCGCGTTGTGTTACATATGTCGTCTGTTTGTTATGATAAAAAATATATTTTTAATATTATAGGTGTACCTATATGCATGGCGTTTTTCAATATATTTTTTTATTTAGAGGTATATACCAAAAATAGCACGTAGGTAGTATAAAACTATTAAAACATAAAAATTTGATATCGACGAGCGTATAAATTAAACTTGAAAATTCTAACGCGAACAATGAGCATTTACCGTAATTCCAACGAACTTCCGTCTTAACCAATGTACATTCCAGGAACCAAAAATGCATTTCGATTTTCCATAGCAACCCCCTTCGAACAACTATTAATCAAATAATGCACGATTTTAAGCATTCGATTATGACTCGCGCATACCTATGTATAATCGTGATGTTCGTATAGGACATACGCATGCTACATGTCATATAAGAAACCTGATTGTATGAAAAATAAAAATAACATTACAATCACATTATGCCTAGTTTTGTATAAATCGAAATTTCATAAATAATGAAGTTGAGTACTATGTGATTAAATTTGATTTTATTACACGATTACAGGAGACAATCGTCTATTAACAGTATCTTGGCAAAAAAACAAATTGGTTAATTATAGGTTAATTATTATACACATCCACATACTGGAATGCCTTTATTACTATCCTGCGGTAGGACCTATAACAGCTATTATAACATCGTAAACTATTTTCTTGAAAACATATGACAATACACATACGTCGACTTACTCTTGTTAACATTTTAATCGTGTCACTTATGAATAGTATTACCTTTTATAATAATATTATGTGTCGACTTACTGTAAAAAAGTGCTGAAACTATTCGGCGTTTTTGTTGGCAAACTTTTCTTTATTCTAGAAAAAATAAAAAAACATCATCAATTAATTTTGACCTAGAAAATTGTTTATATTTTTTTTCTTGACAGTCACAATTCAATAGTATGATACAATTATCATAAGCTTAGTATAAGATAAGGTCATGAAATAAGCGTATTACGCGTTTAACTTGCCACAAAGCACCCACGATGTTCAACCCCCCCGTCATAATAGCCGATCGACTGGTGCCTATAAATACGATTTTAATCCTTGATATTATGATAAGAACACTAAACAACAGTAAGTTCTGGTTTCGTATAGATCTATACATAAACGATTAGTGAAAGGATTATTATACAAATATTACACACAAACGCGGATATAAGTTATGCGCATGGATATACACAATATAAACCGGTTTTACGCTTTAAAACGATATATATATTTTATTTTGGTTGATTAATAAGACACCACTGTTATATTTTCCCAAGTCACTTTCGGTTTCATTAAGAATTTACATTATATTTTTAAAATGTGATCGGTTACTATTTGTCTATTATTTGTCTATTATTGTAACAATAGTGAACAATTGAATAAAGTATATTACTGCACGAATAGGTAACTATACTACACTACCTACAGGTACTATAATATACCTATACTATTATGAATCCATCAATTTATATTTTTTATGACTACAACGCACTCAAAAAGAAAAATATAATAACTCAAATCGATTGCATAAAGAATAATAATATTCTGAAATAAATAACAATTTTATTTTAATTAATTAGATCGACTTCGCCTAAGTTTTGAAATTTATATATTGTTATTATTATAATATTATAAATACCTATTTGTAATGCAACTGTCAATTAAATCTGATTTATTGAATAATTACTCATTATTACGTATATCAAATATTATTTGCGTAGTATGAAATAATTTGTTCATAAACCTACGATTAAAATAAAATATTTTTAACACATTTTTCAAGTGGGCAAACATCTAAAACTAAAAAATATTTGAATCATATGCGCACTTAGATTAATTTCACTTTTACCTTGGTGGTCTATTACTATGTAAATTGCATCGAGATTGCTTTTTAAAAGTAAATTGTTCACCAGTATATACTTGAAAGTGGGTATTTATTTTATATTTGTTGTGAAATCCGTCGTATATATCAACCAGCTCAGTTCTGCTTTTTGATACAATACTTGGTTGGATTTCGTATAATTTTTTTTTTGTTCATTTTATTTTTCTTTGTTATTTTCATTCTGTTTTTGTTGGTTTTAAACAGTTTTTTGTTTTTAAACTCAAAGCAGTAATAGTTTTTTTACGTAAAGAGTTCGGGAATTGTGGCGCTCGTGTGGTGTAATTCTTGCCGTATCGAACTTGTAAATACGTTTAGGTACTCAGTTTTCCCTTGAAAATTCGGTGCGTGGTTAATTCATTCTTTCGGGTGTCGTGCGAACAGGTTGTAAAGTAAGTACGATAAAACAGGGAAAAAACATAAAAATAATAACGTTAATGTAAAATTGTTTATCATAATTATTAATATCTACCTACCTACGCACTTTAATAATAAAATAATAACGTCGTTCGTACGGTTAGTTGTTGTGTGTGTGTATGTGTGTGTGTGTGATAACAGCGTTGTGCCCGTCCGTGAGGTAATTATGTAATTATTATTATTATACATTTATACGCAAGCATAATATATTAGACCGTATTTTGCGGCTGCGGCGCGCGCGGTGGGCGTAAATTACAATATTATAATACTGTATATACGCGCGAACGAGAGAAAGAGAGAGACACACCGAGACAGAGAGCGAGTGAGATGGACTGAACGCCCTTGAACTTGGCCGGACGGACGTGTCATTGCCATCGAATTTTTCCCATGGCCCATCCCTATGAAAACGTACATTTTTTAGGACCGCGCGTGCCACAAGAGTGCATTTTTTAACACGACGACCTTTCGGGGAACTCCTATCGCCCAAAGAATCGCCTAGTCGTCGGCTAAGCAGCCCCCCCCCCCCCTTAGATCGCGTCGTTGATCGAAAAGTTCTAGACACTGATAGTTATATATTCATCAAAAATAGGTAAAATATGCACTAACTGTTCTGGAATCCGGAAACGGATGATTTCTCGTACATTTACTTTCCAAATAAAATATAATACGCAGATGTACCTGTTAAGTCCCATGCCCCAATATAATATAGTATTCGCCTTGAGATGCATTCCCATCTGGCCTCAATCGCGAACGAATGATACAAAAAGCTACCGACACAACAACGCAGAGTCTACGTGAATTGTTTGGAAAGTTAATATAGATAGATGTGGGAGAAATCATTAAATTCGATATGAATTTATTCAGGGCTTTAGAACAGTTTTAGTGAATATTTTCAATGAATGCATAATATTGTTGAGATTGGATTTTTACTTTTATTGCACTTTTATATTTTGATATTTAAAAAAAAATTATACTGAAACCTAACTGAGCAAATTAATAACATTTTAAGGTAATAAACTAACAACTATTTAACATTTTGGATATTTTTTTAAAAATAATTTATGTAAAAATATTTTTTACGTTTTCTCCTCAATTCTCAAATCATACAAAAAAAAAAATTTAACTGCAAATATCATCGATGTTGCCATATTAACATTTTTCTCAGTCCCAATTTTTAAAGTTCTTTTTTTCACTTGAATTCTTGATGCACATCATTATCATTTATCATACTCATAATATAGGTATGCTATGTAAATCATATTTACGGTGGCCAGATTATATAATATTATTCTGTGATTTAATTCAGCGACTGTAGAAGTATATGCACCTATATATTATGGATAGCTATATACACAGTACACTACGGTAATATTTATCATAAACAAAGGCGTGATCCCGTCTGTATAGTAACTATTTTCGTAATTAAAGTGACGTTTTAAATCGTGATGAATGCTATTATACTACCCTCAAGCTCGTGAATTTCACAATAGACACATATTTAACGAAGAGCTTAACTAGAAAAGCGAAAAAATGTTTTGTTCCAAAGTCTTATTACTACAAACCGTTATTCTATCCATTTAATACGTTTTGTGCATTAACGGGGAACGATTTTTTGTTCAAAGTCAAAATATAGAAGCTATGCGCATTCCAGCACTGTAAATATAAGTGTTTTATTTAAATTACGTAAAAAGGTTTAAAGCCGCTCTTTATTCATTTATTATTATTATTATTTTTTTTTTTTTAACTCGGTACGTCTTCATTTCGTATAATAAATATTAATTACGTAGGTATACTCTCTCGTTCATAATACAATCATATTGTAATATATACATGAAACGCGTACAATATTTATGATAATATAAACGTAAGACTGTAATCTCAACGGTGTCGCGTTGCCACGTATAGGGATAGACAACCTGTACTTCAAATATCTTAATCAAAACTCCGATAAATTATTTATGTTAATGTCACTCATTATAATAATACGACTACGACTGCGTTTTGAGCGAGTCGCCACGTCTAACTGCACTCGGAGGGTAAACAGGATTCTTTTCTTGACACACGATTAGTGTGTGCATTATTGCAGTAATGTAATATACCTAACACTTTGCGCGACACGATTTTATTATGATAATATACATAAACTACCTGTCTACCTGTATATTATTTACGTTTACCTCGCCGTTTCGTAAAATGCATGACATAACCACACAGACGGGGTATACGTATGGGTACGCTTCGAAAACCTCGAAAACGTCAATCGGGTTAAGGCAAACACACCGGGGGAAAAAAACCTCGCAAACGGCGTTATTATTTTACGAAAAATAAATATTTGTCGTTTACCCGACGACTCGACGACTCGCAGCAGCAGCACCAGCTTGCTCGAGGTCGTGTTTACCTTAATATTGTAGACGCGACGGTCAACATAGTTACACTCGGCTTTCCTCGGTGTGTGTGTTTGCGTGCGTGTGTGTGTGTGTGTGTGTGTGTGTGTGTGTGTGTGTGTGTGTGTGTGTGTGCGTGTGTGTGTGTGCCTAACCTACACCCGTCAACCCCGCGGCAAACGGTGGTGCATGCGGTACCGCGGGGAGTCACGATGTCCCGTGCGCGCGACTCGGCCGCGGGGCGTGGGGCTAGAGCGGTCTCGGGGAGGGGCCGAGCGCGCATTCCTCATTAACAATAATAATAAATACAGGTGTTTTCAGGTATTATATATTATTATTATTATTATTATTATTATATGGAGTCGGTTTATTCTTCTCGTCTCTTCTTATTTTTTTCTTCTTCATCTAATTTATATGGTCGACGACGGTATATACACCGTAAAAAAATTACATTTACACACATACGGCACACACCGTTACTGTACTGGTACTGGTGCTATTGTATATGTTTTGTGCGTGTGTGTGTGTCTGTAGAAGTATAATAATACAAAAGTATAACATGCTCGGGAAACGGGCGATCGCAGCTCTCCCTCTTTTCGCCTACGGGTAACGCGCGACGCATGACCTGAAATGGGTAAACAGCCTCTCACGGCAGCCACGCCGACGACAACTAATACACACACATACACATACACATACACACACACACACACACACACCTAAAGTCGAGTCGGTTGCGCAACAGGGGCGGCCGACGGTAAAACATGTAATATGTGCACAACATAATAATATATTATAATGATTATAATAATATGATACATTTTTTTTTCAAATCTCGATGATTATTATTGATAAATGCGCGCGCGAGAGGATCGATGACGGATATTGATGGATATCGTGCGCAGTTGGAATTCATCATCGTTTATGATCTATGCCCTATGACCTTTGGACACCACGTCATAAAAAATACATGCCACAGCGAGATTTGACACCACGTATACCTACTGTTAGAGACCTGCCAAACCCGGTGATAAATTATGGCCGGTATGGTTTGAAGGTTGGCGTTAACTGCAACCGACAAGCCGATAGCGACGCTCCTACACCGGGGTTTATCGAAAAATCAAATTTTAAAAAATAAATCCTGC